CCCCTCATCTTCATAGCACACCAGAAGCTCCATCCCATCCGTGTTGGGGAGGATGATGTCCACATGGGGTTTGATGCTACATTGGATCTAGAGAAGAGGAACAAAGTGCAGAAAAACATGTTTGTGGCTATTTCCAGCCCTGTGAAAGTGCTCAATAAGATTGTCTTGGTGAATGCACCCGTACCATATCCCTGACAATAAATACAGCAATTAGATAATGTTTTGGAACAGCCATATGATCTACCTTTATACTCTACTGACTCATTTTCTGAAGCCCCTGAAACATATCTGGACAGTGGGCTCCGTTTGAGAATCACTCCCACCCCAAGGGTGTTCTGGCCTGCCAGCAACTGCCCAAAATCCATCCCATGTTAGTCAAAGCAGGGTCTAAGAGGTTCTCAGGAGGGCTTCACAGAGCAGGGAGAGTGGATTTCCACTGGTCTCAGAGNTGAAAATGACACATCATTTAAAGACTCACCCCCACACCAAGGGGAAATGAAGAATCAATCCCTGCTTATGTTAGTTCACTAAGCAGAGTAAAGAAAAAAGTCCAAACAAAATGAAGCCAGTCAATCAACCACAGGGTGTGGGTTCTTTCTTATGTGTGTTGATAGATAAATGTCATATACTGATCCTGAATCTACATCAACAGCATGAAATCCAGCACAGGATCCATAGATCACTTTCAACCTCTGGCCTTCCTCCACAGTGAGATCCACCAGTAATGGCTTATGTACCAATTCTCCAAACGACTACGAAGAAGTCACCAAGAAAAAAGCACCATGATGAAGCTGAACTTATTCCTAACAGATCAAACTAGACAAGCTAGACTCAAGTTACTCAGCTGTTCAATTACTGAGCCACACTGCCAACAACCAGAAGGCAAAAGATATTCTATAAAATTAGTCTTTATTATGCTTTTGACTGTTAATTAGCACCCGGAAGACACTCCTCCCAGAAGTTATGTCCCAAATCTGCCCTGTCCAGCAGCCTAAGAACTCTGCTCTGTCGCTTATTATCTTATTGTACATCTTGATCAGAAAAACATATAAAATAAAATAACTGGACTTTCTACAGCATACTATTCAACT